AAACCTGGACGCCGCAAGAGACTACCGTTAGGGTCTGACGCTCCCCCAAGGACAGCGTTGGCAACAAGGGACAACATTGGTAGCTGCAGCTGTCGTTTGTATGTAAAGTTGTCGTTTACGCCTCATGCATCAACAGCGTCAAGAGTCTGTGGCATATGGTCCACAGCAGGTTGGCGAACCCATGTCGCAGGTCCACCATGGATCCTTGCATTATGCACAGGCAACTATCCACCAGGGGATCACAAGGGCTCAAGAAAAATCTAGATGTAGTTGTTCGTGTTTTACTCGTGCGAGTAAGATGTGCCACGCGCATCGGCGAACATTGTTTCTAAGTAAGGGCGCGAACCCATGTCGCTTAGCTTGCACACGTTAAAATACACTTACATGTGATTGTCCACATGTCCGTTACAAAGTGCACCACAGTATCAAACCTAACTTTTTGCGTTTGCGCACTGTCGTGCGACAAAGATGCGCGGTGTGCATCTGCGAACCCTGTTACTGTGGAAGGGTGCGAACATGCATCGCACGCTCTGCGCACAGTTCAACTTACGTATAAGTAAGACGGGCAGGGGCCTTCATATCACAATCTTTTGCGGGTAGGGTTTTTGTGTTTTGATCTTTGTCGTGCGACAAATATGCGCGGCGCGCATCGGCGAACATACCTCTTTGGGAAGGTTGCGAACCTATGTCGCACGCGTTGTGTTTTTCTATGGTTGCTTTGACGGCCACCATTTGGCGTGTTTCACTTTGACTGTAGAGCTCTCAGCCTAGACAAGTCTGCAGCAGGCTCCATGGATAGAAAGTTCCAAGCTAGCCTCCGCTACCAAAGGCCACACCCCCTTGGCCCCACGCTTGCTTCAAGCACCAGACGTTGGACATAGACATGCGCAGTTTTGCTTGACAAGCCCACGGTGCAAACGTCAGGGTGTTCTCACTACATGGTTTTTCCAAACATCTCTTGAGGAGCCGCAAGATGTGTACATATCTCTACAGGGAATATATGTTGAAGGCATGTGTGTGTGCGCATTGTCCACTCCACCTTGCGCCCATGGCCCCATGGGCTGACAGCCGCTGAGCCGCTTTTCTCAGGACCCCACCGAGTTCACTCTGCTGTCCTTCCACCGCTGGCTTAAGTTTAAGATAAGCCGCTGGTAGACACGTAAAAGAACTGTGGACGAACTGCATTTCGTTGCCACTTGTTTGATGTAGCCAAGGTAAGATTCATCTTGCCAATTGGCAGTGAAGCGCGGGTTCACCCGCGTTCTCACCAAAAACAAACCTAATTCTTCAAGATAGTGGTGTTTTGGCCTTGGAAGCCACCTTCGCACCCCTACCTCTAAACATGCATCCCTCAGCCCCTGCAAATGCAACAAGTGTTGCGTAAAAAGGTCTCGGATGCTTGAAGCTTCCCCCCTCAGAAGAATGATGTCAGCGTTGTCCATGATTTGCACTGCTGTGGTGATGGACCACAGACATAGAGCAGCCCCTTGAAGATCTGGAGCCTTAGATGTTTGGTTTCACCGCGAAACAAAACTTGCAAGATCGAGTTGTTGTGAGTTCGCATGCTAATGTGTAACAAGTAGCCCCCGTTGACTCCGCATATTCTACAGCTTTCAATGTCATGTACCACAAAATGACCTTGATGTGGGCAGCTTTCCAACACCGACCCAAAGTTGGCATTTGCTTCGGAGTGTTCAACCCAGTGTTTGCTTCAGTGAAGAAGCATCTGCGGACAGCAATCCTTAGGTCTTCAACAAGGGTAACGAGTCTCTGGGTATTGAACCAAAATTCACAAACATGTGTGGCGCCATACCGCCATGGATCTTTTGTCGTCGAAATTCAGCATGCATCTCCAAACTAAGCTGCCGGAGCTTGTCCGCCAGTGACATGTGGGGTCCACCAAGAAGGCCGTGGTCCAACCAGGTCGCTAAGAGGCAAGAGATCAGGTCCCTTGCTGTGCCCAAGTAAAGGATGTGTAAGATGTCGTGTAGGCAGGAACCTAAGTTCCAACCTGGAATCACATGATATGGAGAGATGGTACTGGTGGTTCTCCTGTACGTGGCGTCATCTATCCTTGTAAGATGACGCGGGCGATCCAAACGAAAATCATCATACCGCATGTCTGGATTTCCACTCTTTGCACATTTTTGGGCCACGCACAATTCACAAATATAGGTGCAGCTGTAAAAGCGGTCGAACAGGTTGCATTCTTGCCTGGCCTTGGCATCGTATCTAGATCCCCAATACGCCATCCTGACTGACATGTCATGACATATCACATTGAACAAAAACGCCATTGCAAAAAAACATGAACATTAACTGACAGATCTCCACTGTCCTCCAAGGGGTGCTGAACTCTTTTCCCCTTCGTTTGTATCTCCAACTGTTCTGGGGGAACTCTTCTCCATGAAATCCGGAAGATGGAAAAACACCACTGCTTCCAATCTTGATTGACCACGCCAGGAGCTTGGCCACCACTTCGCGAACGGCATTTTTCACCTGGCCGGGCTCCACAAGGGAGACAGAAACGAAAGTCGTGAGCTTGCCTTCTTTTTTCTTCATAGACTCATGAGGTAGGATGACAATCGGGAACTTGCAGTCCCAAACCTATGCGACAAACACAAACACCCACAAGACAAGACATGATCGTTTGTCGATACACCAGTTGCTGCTTTGAAACGTCGCCCTGTGCCATGATACTAGACAGACTCCAAACATTGTATTCAGAATCTCGATAGAATTCAGCTCCGTCCATGTGCATCGTCATTGGTATTGTGCCTCAATAACACTACAGGCTTTGCTCTTACATCATTGGTAAACCATTGTAGCTGCTACCCGGTAAACTAGGGCTAAGACGGTCTTTGCACAGCTCCCCACTGGCAAAAGCTGGGTGAGATGCCCACTCAGGACATTTCAAGCAATGACCCCAGAATTCTTCAATGGCTCCTTTGCCCCGGTCACCAATCATAGATTTTGCAAACTGGCGTGGGTGCAGAGACATGGTTGTTTTCATCAAAGGGCGTTGACTAAAATACTCTAGCTGACAAAAGAACAAAGTCTAGCTTGGACTGGCCCTGCACGAGCCACAGCATCAAAGATTTCGTGCGGTAAGAGAACTGGGACATCGACCAATTGAACCTCCATGGAGTTGATCACCTCATCACGCTGAACACATTCTGGGGCACTCCAGGTTTGTCCACGCACGCTTGTTTGGTTTGTACTCAGGCCATGACCTGAAGCGGTATTTTTGCGAAATAGACTTCCAGTTCAATGTTGTGCAAGTTTTTTCATCCACGTATGTAAGTCGCGCTCCTCTTTGGAGCTGTTCCTGCCGAAATTGCCAAGACTGGCAAAAGCCTGGATTGCCTCTGGAGCTGGGCCATCCAACAACTGGGCTTGGGCGATTGACACAACAGTATGGACGTGGGCTTTGCCGGATCCAATCATACCTCACAAAGCTCACTCTTCTCTAAACGGTGCTACCAAGCTTGATGCAAGAGGAAGCTCTCACACTATTCTTGAAACAAGGGTCGGATGAAATGCTCAGCTTGATTATTGAACTCGTACTTCTCATACCGACCTCGCCTGAAGGTCCTTGATCCCAAGGTCACCCAAGGTCTGGACTCAAGCTTCTCTCAGGTGTGGACAAGGAGCTGCTTGTGGACAGCATGATCGTTGTGCAGGCCTGCGTTCCATGGCCAGGGTAAGATGTGACTTCAAAAACAATGGGCCCCAAGCAATCTAATCCAAGTGTTGGGTTGAAAGGGTTGGTCAGGCATTGAGCACTGCAGGCTAGCATTTTTCATCTGGCTTTCCAGAGTTCTGCAGCGATACCCCTCGCTGTCACTGAAAGTTGACTAAGCTGACTACGCAGAAGAAGCGGTGGTTTTCTTGTCACCACTCCTGGCAGAAGCTTTCGCTTTTGCCTTAGCCTTGCCCCTCTTCTTGTCCGTCAATCCAGAAAGCATAGCCCTCCCAGCTGCCTGGCAGGGGCTTGGTTTTGAACACTCTTCGTAACGGTGTGATTTTGTAGTTTAATGTGATTTAACTATAGAGTCTTAAACAACATGAATAGAACTGTTTGGGAATCTTGCACCTTAGCCTTCTCATACCAATTGAGCTGTTCCTTGCACTGACCGAGCAAGCCCTTGATCTTGGGTTCGCTCAGAACCTTTTGGTTCATGAGCTCTTGAAGGTCATGGTACAGGGATTCAGTCTTGCTCGAAAAGGTCATCAGCTGGGCATTGAGCTCACCCCATAATCCACGTGCTTGAGGGAAAGCGCCATCTTCCTTCCATCAGCAGACTTTGTCAAGGTCTCCGCCATGATTTCAGCCGCCAACCTTGATTGAAGGTATTGAGAAATCAACCCTGGGGATAAGGATGAGTTCCAAGAGTTTAAACACCCAACAGGGAGACAACTAAGGGTCAGTCTCCTTGAAAGTCTTTGGCTTAACTTCTTTGGCTTCTTCTTCCTTTTTTCTTTTGGGAGGCTTGGCACTGGTCACGTTTGCCTTAGCCACTGTCTCCCACAAGGACTTCTCACCATCGGCGTCGGCAGCGTCTACACCAGGAAGTGCGCCCTGATGGAGAGGGCCGTTCTCGTCAGTCAGGGCAGTAAGGGTAGCGTGATCCGGGTTGGTCTTCCCCACCAACTTCATTTGCTCCGCGGTGATATCTTCATGTTCGATGCGCTTAGCACGCCCGCAATAATAGTAGATCTCCTGTGATGGGACGGAAAGGGTCAAGGCCAGAACGAACAGAAGAAGTGGGGGGGTTACATTATATATTCAATATGAATAAAGAGCTATAGTATATACAAATATGAAATAAGAATGTTTACAAAACTTAGTAGGAACACTGCATGGGTCAATGCCCCACCTCGTCGTCCCCCGGGAAGTCTTCGCCCCAGTACCACATCTTCTTTTGCTTGAGTAAAGAGATCAGTTTCTCCGCTTTGTCCTTGGGATACTTCTTGAAAATGTCCCTTGCCTTAATCCCCTCTCGCCCTGAGCGAAAGCGATTGATGCCCTCCACTCGCCTTTCAACCACCAGCGCTACCCTGAGCTGCGAAAAGGTTGAACCACTAGGACCATTAGGATTGTGCGCAAAAGAAACTCCAAAACAAAATGCTCTTGAACAAAATCAAAACGAGAAGCTGCTCCAAGTTCTTCCCGCTTTCGAGCCAGATGTTGAAGAGGTCTGTTTTGTCGCGCTGCAGGTGTGAAGTCAGGCTGACAGGGAACTTCTTGCGATTCTCGCACTGGCGACTGAAGGTGTCCCAGTCTTTTTTGTGCGACACACCTTGACACTGCCAAGGAAGATTGAAAAAATAAAGCTTTCTTGGGAAATTAGTCCTTGCTAAAGAACCCTTCAAAAACTGTGTCTCATAGTAAAATGCAAGGGACTGTTTGCCCGCTTTTTTGGCGCATCTTCCGCTGCGTTGGAACCTTCTTGGATGATGTTGCCGGGGTCTGCGGTCTCCTCTTCTTTGTCATCCCCCTCTTCCTCCTCATCCTCTTGTGATCCCTCTTCATCTTCTTCCTCACTTTCTTCGCCCTCATCTGAATCTTCACTTGAAGACGAACCATCGCCTTCCTCTTCCTCGCTGTCTGAGGGCTGTGGCTCCACCTCTTCCGCTTTGCTTTCCTCTTCCTCAGACTCCTCGTCTTCTTCGTCTCCTCCCTCATCCTCCTCCTCCTCCTCATCACCCTCCTCCTCTTTCTTTTCTGAAGCTTCTTCTTCTCCATCGTTTTCCACCTCCTCTTCTGCGTCGTCTGGCAATAGGATCAACTGATTGACAAGATCTTCAAACTCCGTTTCTGTCTCTGTATCATCGCCTTCCTTTGCGACCTCCTCCTTTGCCTTCTCTGCCGTCTCCTTTGCCTTCTCTGTCTTCTTCTTTGCCTTTGCATCTGCCTTCTTCTTTGCTTCCTTCTCTGCCTCTTCCTCTGCCTTCTTCTTTGCGCGCTTCTCTGCATCTTTGTCTGCCTTCT